TTTGAAGCCTAATATAACCAGGATTGCTGAATCAAATATGATTTATGTATTAACAGTTCTCTTGAAGTTGGAGGATAGATATCATTCATTCTCAACTTGACAAGCGCAAAGTCAAGAATTTCATCAGACAAAACTCGGGGAAACTTAAAACAGCAACAACGTTTCTAGCAACAGTTGGCCATAATGCARTCTGRATGACTCTTCTTAACCAGATAACTCCTGACAGAATAGCTCCTTCTTGACTCGCTTATTCTCCCTTCAAAAGAATTCTCCATGCAAAACTAGATGATTTAAAAGGTTGTTCCTATAAAACCCTTGAGAATGCCATTGTGAGAGAAGACTTTGACCAGCTGGGATGACCATAATGCATGGGCTTGGAAGAGCCATAACACATGGTGGCGACACAGTTGACAGGTGGGGATATTATGTGCTTTGTTTGGAATGATGGTCACAAGTAATGATCCCCTTCAATTCTTGTTGTTGGTCTTATATTATTTATGTTGGCACATAAACGTGGTGTATTCAAATCAGGTTCAGAAACAACTATCTTGTATTTATCAAGGTGTCAATGACTACCTGTTAACTAAAAAATGGATCTTTAAAAGAATTGCTGATGAACARTCAAGAATCATATTGTTAGCTCTAACCTGCTAAATGATTGTGTTTGATATTTGAGTGGTTTGTAATTGCTTATAACAATCAAGAGTCATAATGTTAGCTTTAACCTACCTAATGGTTGTGTTTGATATTTGAATGGTTTCTAATTGCTGATGAAACAATCAAGAATGATAATGTTAGCGTAATGGCTGTGTTTTATACTTGAATGGTTTATGATGTGTTGTGAAATGTTTTCAGAATCTGTTTCCTGGTTTGTGGCTTGACTCTATTACTGCTGATTCTTACTGCCTCCATCTCGCTCTCAGCTCTCGATTTGAAGCTCCATCTCACTGAAGCTCTCGATCTCTCGAATGCCTCTCGGTCCAAGCATCTCTCGATCTGCCTCTCGATCTCTCAAGAAAGGTAATGGGTCTTCTTCTGCCTCTCGATCTCTCTGAGAACCCATATCTCTTCTTCGAGATTAAAGTGAAATGATGAAAAGGTGCTGTGATATTTGTACAGGAAGGGTTTCAGTACCATCATGCAGAAACATGATATGTGATGACGACGTGTTGGATTCGTAATGGATCGTGTATGCTACCTGCCGATGCTTCCCATTAAGTTGGAGTTGGGGGTTTTGTGATGAATGATAAAAATGAGGTATGCGTATGATGATGTTTAAAATGCAAAAGTGAATTTCTACAAGTTTAAGAAAAACATGTTGGGTGCAGGTTCTTGTGGTTCAAGAGAAACATTGTGTGCACYTGAGCTTGTTGGCCTTTGGAAGTTACCAACTGGGTTCATTCTTGCGGTATGCAATGCCTTTTCAGATGACAWAGCAAAACACACACAAATGAATTTTCAGTATTTATAGACTCATCTCTTTTTCCTTAACCAGTCGCAGGAGATTTTCATCGGAGCTGTATGCTTAGATCAATTTCAAGTCAGATCAATATTGATGATCTTGAAATTCAAGCATCCAAGGTAATATCTTGTCAACTGTTATTGTTCATGTTGTTTTCTTAATTAGCATGCAAACTTGAGTTTTGACTAGAAATCTATTTTATAATAAAACTATGTAAGAATCATAATTATATTTCTACTTTTCAAAATAACACATACATAAAAATATAAAATAAATAAAACGAATAATTGATTGGTAGTTAATATATAAGAATACGCATTTTGATGAATATACATAACCTTTTAAGTAGTCAATAACACATGATATTTAGATTTAATTTGTTCAAAATCAACACAAACCATTTCAGTTGGTTCATTCAATTAACTCCAACGGATACAACGTCAACATTAACACAAACAATTTCAGTTGGTTCATTCAATCAACTCCAAAAAAATATCCAAGTTGAGAATCTAAACAGACATATAATTCACTAATATCTAAAGACGCTATCCATTTCCACCTTTAAACTCTCTTCATACACCAGCTTGGTAGTCAAATATTTTTTTTAGTTCAAACACAAGCAAACATATTAGTATTGAGCAATTAATGTTGTATGAGAAAAATGAAAATTTTGATATACCTCAAGAAAGTTCTATCAATGCACTTCTACCTCCCATTCTTTCATAGACCCTCATCTTCCYCACTTCATTTATAACATCCTCCATTTCTTTTGTTAGGCGTTGAGCCAACCCTCTGAACAAGGTTGAACCTCCACCCAAAATGACATTCCTCAACATAGCGTCGACAATATCAAAATCTAGTGCAATACTAGGAGTTCGAATAAGAGTATGAATACCTTTATCCGAACTATGTCCGTGTAGCTAAAAAAATATGTATACTTCTCTAATGCAAGTTTTACTTGTACTTCATTCGGTACTAGGTATTTTTGTTGTTGGACAATTTTACTCTCCTCCGCAAAGTCTTGAGCCACATATTCAAGAATCTTAATGACGTCTTTCCTTCGATGAGCCATGGTCAACTCATGTTCTTGTTTGCCAAGAAGATTCATAAGATCATCCCTGATATCTTAATCACCTATTTCTTCGACTTGTGTATAGAAATGCCATTAGAAACCGAGAGAATTTGAGTCAAACTTTCCCCAATTTCCACAGCATTACTTGTTAGACGATTAACAGAGTACATGGATAGGACAAGTGGCCTAGCCACAAGTACAGAACGGAATTCAAACTTCTCCAACATTAATTTAACAATCTTTTCAGTCTGCCGTTGATGGCTATTAGCAGCCTCAGTAATGATCACATCATGTTCGGATGGATCAATTTCAAGCTCATTTAAAAAAGTGTGTTCCCATACGTTTTCCGTCTTCTCAAAGTTTGTGCTGATTCCACGTTTTATAGGCCTATCCAAGTTTAACATAGATTGATTGGCTAGTGCCCTTTCTCTAATATATAAGGTATATTAGGCCTGTTCATCGGTTGATATCCATTGGATATGAGGGGAACCGAACCGATCCAATCATCCATTAGAATCTACCAACCAATCTGATCTGGTTAACATTGGATAACCGATTCAATCTAATCCAATGGATGATAGGATCGGTTCGGTTCCATCCGATGGGATTGGATCCATCAAATGTGTTAATTCAATCCATGTCTCTAACAATGATACAAGTTAATTAATCACTTTTAATGTGTTAAAACCAACACAATGGAAGTTAAAAATTCAAAGCCTCACAAAAACAAATTCCGATTTAAGCAATTTGAAAATAAATTGATTGGATGATAGTTGGATGGTCATTGGATGTTGACCGGTTCGGTTATGGTCGGTTCTAGACTGCCATCCGAGAACTGACCTATCCAAATTGGATGTTGAAATATTCAATTCGATCCGATCCGATCCAATTACAATTGGATATCCAATTATGGTCGGTCGATTCTAATTAGATCAATTGGTTCCAATTGGATCGATTGATTTTCTGCACACCCCTACTCTACAGGCTGAGGGATACAATCTTCCCCAACATCGTAGGGAATCATAGATGTCGGTCTCTCTTATATATTCAGGCCAATATCAGGATGACACCTCATATTGGAGAGAGGGCACTAGCCAATTGATCTATGTTGAGCTTGGATAGGCCTATAAAACGTGGAATCATCACGAACTTTTAGAAGACGGAAAACGTGTGGGAACACACTTTTTTAAAGGAGCTTAAAATTGATCCATCCGAACATGATGTGATCATTACTGAGGCTGCTAATAGCMATCGACGRCAGACAKAAAAGATGATTGAAATAATGTTGGAGAAGTTTGAATTCCGTTCCGTACTTGTGGCTAGGCCACTTGTTCTATCCATGTACTCTGTTAATCGTCCAACAAGTGTTACTGTGGAAATTGGGGAAAATTTAACTCAAATTCTCCCGGGTTCCAATGACATTTCTATACACAAGTCGAAGAAACAGGTGGTTCAGATATCACAGATGATCTTATGAATCTTCTTGATAAACAAGCACATGAGTTGACAATGGCTCGTTGAAGGAAAGACGTCAATGAGATTCTTGAGTATGTGGCTCAAGACTTTGCAGAGGAGAGTAAAATTGTCCACCACTAGACATATCTAGTACTGGATGAAGTACAAGTAAAACTTGCATTAGAGAAGTATACCTGTTTTTTTAGCTACATGGAGACAGTTCGGATAAGGGTATTCATACTCTTATCTGAACTCATAGTATTGCGCTAGATTCTAATCTTGTCGACGCTATGGAGAGGAATGTCATTTTGGGTGGAGGTTCAACCTTGTTTAGAGAGTTGGCTCAACGCCTAACAAAAGAAATGGAGGATGTTATAAACGAAGTGGGGAAGTTGAGGGTCTATGAAGGAATGGGAGGTAGAAGTGTATTGATAGGACTTTCGTGAGGTATATCAAAATTTTCATTTATCTCATACAACATTAATTGCTCGATACTAATATGTTTGCTTGTGATTGATTAAAGAAATATTTGACTACCAAGCTGGTGTATGAAGAGAGTTTAAGGGTAGAAATGAAGTGGCGTCTTCGGATATATATATCTAGAAACTGAAATATATATCTAATCAAGATGTTCTCGATGATTACGCAAGGGTGGATCAATTTCATATATTCTCTGCCTAGATCCAGGAGGAGGGATAGGCTTTTGCTTGATAGCCTCACTCTCTCTTAATGTCATTTAAGGGAACCATAGTCAATGCCTCCAAAGCTGCAATATCTTCATCAACCAGTAGTGATGAAGTAACATAATCTTTTATTGTTAACAACTTCACTATAATGGCTTGTTTCTTCTACAGAACCCATTTTGGCCAAGTTATCAAGCTTTTCCATCTTGACACCATCTTCATTTTTTACTACCTAAAACAAAGAAAAGTGATCAATGCAGATTTTACAAGTTTCAAAGTTCAAACAACCTAATACGCAAGAAATATATTTGTTCTTTTGATGATATCATTTATCGCAAATACATTAAGTGGGAGACTGATTCAGGGAAAATGGATCATAGATTGTGTGAATTCATATTAATATACTTGGAAATCTTCTATATTTGCATCTGTAGCTTCCATTTGCTCAATTTAAGTCCTAATGTGGAAGGATAGCAATTCCATGGTTTTCAGCACAAGATCTGTTGGACCGATACTAAGGAACCGCCCACGTGATATTGTCCGCTTTGGGCTGCCCTTCCCGGCAACAACCCCTCACGGCTTTAAAACGCATCACTGGTAGGAGTAAGACTCCCCCTTCCTTATAAGGAAGACGAATCCCCCTAGCCTCACCGATGTGGGATGCTCCTGCATTGCTACAGGAGCGTTGGGTTTAAGAATCGTGGATTTGACCGGCTCGAGGGAATGATGAGGCGGAAGTCCTAACATTCCCCCCCGACATTGGTGCGGCCCTAGCTCTGATACCAATTGTTGGACCGATACTAAGGAACCGCCCACGTGATATTGTCCGCTTTGGGCTGCCCCTCCCGGCAACAACCCCTCACGGCTTTAAAACGCGTCACTGGTAGGAGTAAGACTCCCCCTTCCTTATAAGGAAGACGAATCCCCCTAGCCTCATCGATGTGGGATGCTCCTGCATTGCTAYAGGAGCGTTGGGTTTAAGAATCGCGGATTTGACCGGCTCGAGGGAACGATGAAGCGGAAGTCCCAACAAGAACTTTTTAGAAGTCCATTAACAGAATACAATATCAACATGGATGTAGATAGCACACAAGATATAGAAGCACAAAAGGCAAAGCTTTCATGGGCTCCCTTTTACAAATGTAATAATAAAACAATAGACCATTGATCTACTTTTGTTGTTTTTATCTAGACTAAGATGTATGCACAAACAAAAACAAAGAACCCGTAAAGAGAGGAATGTTAAGAGACAATATTCCACCAACTTGCATTTCTTTTATTTACTTTGCATTACCTCATGATATGTTTGTGGAGAATCAACTACCATTCTCTTCACCTGAAGACAACCAACATAGMATGATGATGTGACACGAATAAACAATTCATAAGTTCAATTATAATMAAATTCCACCTTATCATTAAAAAGGTCCTGGACAACACAGGGTGTCTGCCCCATTGTCCTTTGTAACATAACAGGTATGGCAGTTGGGTGTTTGCCATCCAAAGCATAAAAATCAAAGAATAAGATCAAAATGGTCCAGACTCTAGAATACCAATGAATAATTTCTGATAACAGTTGCACATGTATTCAAGGCTTATTTCAAGGTCTAAACATTTGTTGATAGAAGGCAATTAAAGAGGACAGTTGGTAAAAATTGAAACCCAATTAACATTAAAACGTTCTTAGCATTTGCAGTTTGCCAATAGATTGTTCTAGCAGCCAGAAAACCATTGTCTTC